GAAATACTCTCTACCTTGAAGAGGTGTTATAAAGATGAAATAAAATGTTTTAAAGTATCTACCTGACATATAAAAGACTCCTTTTTTTCTTTTCCATGGTAATATTTCATCGGGAACAGATTCGTTTTTATTATTTTTATCCTCTGTTTTAATTTTTTTATAGTTGTTTGGCCCTTGGGGAACACATTGGAGCTATTGAGGGTTTCAAGCAGCAAGTGCCATAATCTGATTTTCATTTTAAAAAGATCATTTGAACAGCTTTGTAGAGAATGGTGAGGAGTATAGAAGGGTAAGGATGGTAACAAAAAAGCCAGTAAGAGGTTTTGGTGTCATCTAGATGAGAGATGATGGTGGTGTGGAGCAATGGAGAGGGAGGACATTGGGCAGGTTTGGAGTTTATTTTTGTGGAGGTAGAACCAAGACTTGATGATGGTTTGATGGGGGAGGAAATGTAGATGGTGGTGTCATTTACTGAAGTGACAAACTTAAGGGAGAAGCAAAGTTGAGTAGGTGGGTGGTGGTAGGCATTGAAAAAAATAATTTTGTTTGGACATGTTAAGAGTGGAAAGCACGTAGGTAGCTGTGTGTGGCCTTCTGGGGCTAAGGACCCAGCCAGCAGTGTCACGTTCATTTCTAGGCCTGCAGCACAGAAAGGCTGGGAGTCTTGCAGCTCCCCACTTCCAGATTGGGCTTGGAGTAGCTTTTGTCTGCTCTTCCTTTGAACCAGACTTAGGAGGTTTTGTTTGTTTGTTTGTTTGTTTGTTTGTTTGTTTTTAGCAGAGCGCTTCTCTTCAATCCATTTCTGAGAGGGCTTGTAGAAACTTCTACCAGAATTCAGATTCTACTCATATTATTTACTGCTGCCAGATTCCTCCCCCCCCTCACCCCCTTTTCCATTTAATGAGATTTAGGGAAAGGAGACATCCAGCATTTCCAAATATCCAAGATGGAAGTCATCAAACACATTGTGTATGATTGAAAGTACAATAATGCCCCTTATATGAGAGGAATGCAATTCCAAGACCCCTACTGGATGCCTGAAAACGTGGGTAGTACTGAACCCTATGTGTACTATATTTTTTCCTATACACACTTACCTTTTTACTTAAGGGAATCACTCTCTCTTTTGTATATCTGAATTGCTGGTATTAGTACTCTTGTGCTTTGGGGCCATTAGTAAGTAAAACAAAGGCTACCTGAACACTAGCACTGNCGTAGGTAGCTGTGTGTGGCCTTCTGGGGCTAAGGACCCAGCCAGCAGTGTCACGTTCATTTCTAGGCCTGCAGCACAGAAAGGCTGGGAGTCTTGCAGCTCCCCACTTCCAGATTGGGCTTGGAGTAGCTTTTGTCTGCTCTTCCTTTGAACCAGACTTAGGAGGTTTTGTTTGTTTGTTTGTTTGTTTGTTTGTTTGTTTTTAGCAGAGCGCTTCTCTTCAATCCATTTCTGAGAGGGCTTGTAGAAACTTCTACCAGAATTCAGATTCTACTCATATTATTTACTGCTGCCAGATTCCTCCCCCCCCTCACCCCCTTTTCCATTTAATGAGATTTAGGGAAAGGAGACATCCAGCATTTCCAAATATCCAAGATGGAAGTCATCAAACACATTGTGTATGATTGAAAGTACAATAATGCCCCTTATATGAGAGGAATGCAATTCCAAGACCCCTACTGGATGCCTGAAAACGTGGGTAGTACTGAACCCTATGTGTACTATATTTTTTCCTATACACACTTACCTTTTTACTTAAGGGAATCACTCTCTCTTTTGTATATCTGAATTGCTGGTATTAGTACTCTTGTGCTTTGGGGCCATTAGTAAGTAAAACAAAGGCTACCTGAACACTAGCACTGTGATACCATGACAGTCTGATAACTGAGATGGCTGCTAAGTGACTAATGGGCAGGTGGCGTGTACACGGCGTGGAAATTCTGGACAAAGGGATGATTCACATCCTGGGCGGGATTGAGTGGGATGGTGTGAGATTTCATCACACTACTCAGAATGGCACACAATTTAAAACTTATGATTTTTTTCTGGAATTTTCCGTTTAATACTTCTAGACTGCAGTTGATTGCAGGTAACTGAAACCATGGAAAGCAAAGTCGTGGATAAGAGGAAATTACTATATGAATACACTACAGAGAGCGATGATAAATATGCAAATGAATGATATACAATATGCTAAGAGATTATATTCTAACATAGTTTGTTATTTTTATTACCCTCAAATTTCCAGTTTTGCTGCAGACAAGAGAATGAAATTCACGATCCAATTTTCCTTGATAACTATCAAATTCAATTTGATAGCTATCAATTAGCTATTGCCTCTGTGAAGGGAGGAATATGCAAGGTATTTGGGGAGAGGTATTGGGCAGCCTCACAGGCTTCTGTGAAAAGTTAAAATTCTGCAGAGCTGGGTATTGAGTCCGTGTGTCCATCAGACGCATCTGTGTTGGAAATGTTTTATAATTAATACTTTGTTTTTCTTTAAACACATAAATAAAAACTAACTTAAAATTTTAAATGTGAGAGACAATGCCCTCCCTTCGTCCACTTCATCCTCATTAATCACCATGAAGAATGATCTATTAGGTTTTTCTCTCAGAAAACGTAATTACTTTGTAATGAAATGTTAATGCTATGTTCTATTCTTAAAGTCACTTGCTCCAATGATGAAGCTATGTCTTAATAGAGCTGCTAAATTTTCTTCTAAGTCATTCTTTTAATATTTTATATTTGTCAAATGAGCTGGTGATGATCTGGAGCTTCTTGTTTTCACAAACAGGACTATTTCAGCAAAGACTCATCATCAGGCTGTTAACTTCAATATCTTCGAAGGCATGGTGTGCCATGGGGTGCCCCTAGTGACCATTTCCAGAGGCAAAGTGGTGTATGAAGCTGGAGTTTTCAATGTCACAGCAGGAGATGGGAAGTATATTCCTCGCAAACCATTTGCTGAATATATTTACAAACGGATCAAACAGCGAGACCAGGTGAGTTGTGCCTAAGTGGCTGTTACCATGGGCTGGACTGTCACCTGCTCCTGGATGTTGTTGGTGGTGTTGTCACATACACCCAATTTAACATATTCCTGAGATGTCGTGATTAATATGAGAGGTTCCAGACGAATACCAGTTTTCGAAGAAAGAATCATTATTGCATTTTCCTTGCAGATTGGTGTCTATTCAGGGTTTCCTGATGGACTAAGTCAGGTTTTCCCAGCAAGTTCAGGGCCTCCGGGAGCCTTTGGCAATTGGGTTAGTCAGGGTCCTCCAAGAAGCAGACACTCAGATAGATAAAGGTGTGACATTTTTATTAAGAGAAACACCTGTGGGAGAAAATGAGAAGGAGCCAGGAAAGGCTGGCAGAGCCCTCAGATTGCAATCCAAGTCTAGCTCCAATGAAAGAGAGGAGAGAAAAAGGGGTGGAAGCATCCTAGACTGTCATATAGTCTAAGATAGGTTGAGCAAGGCCTTCAGGCAGCTGTTGAGCCAAGTCTCTTGCCAGTCATCTACATGGTGTGCTGTCACTGGCTTGGAGCAGCTGTGGGAGGCATGGC